ATTAAAAAGAACTTCCACATATTGGGAGTAGAGAAATAAGTTTGTGCAGGTTTTGATAAGAATGGCGCTACAGTAGAACCTCCCTTTAGTGAACCCCCCGCTAGTCGACACCTCTCTACAAATGACAGTTTTTATTTGCCAAATTAGCATTTTTATTATTTTGAAACTCTCCAGTAAGAGGACACCTCTCCTTAAAGGACACTTTGGTTCTGTAATTAGGTGTCCTTTACAGGGAGGTTCTACTGTACTAGTTTATTATTCCATTGTTTCATCTGGCAAGACCATTATTTTGAAGCATCATAAGGCTTCTTTCATTAACCGTCATTTCTCTGAAGTTTGAACAATCGAGTTGTGGTTTGCTCCTATAATGTCAACTTTTGTACCAAATAATGTTTTTTTGTGGGGAGTTTTACTTCATTACTTCAATATGAAGAGAAAAAAGCTGCTGAGAGTCATTGTATTTTAGTGGAAGTTTATGATGACCATGCTCTAGCTGAACATGTCAGAAGTGGTTTGCACGGGGGGCAATTTTGATTTGGAGAGAGTTGCTAAATAGTAAAAAATGGTATTTTTGGTGATGAAAACTGTCCTTTATAGAGAGGTGTCCTCTAGCGGGAGTGTCCTCTCATGGAGGTTCTATTGTATATCATACTTTTACTATCCTCTAGGTTTATGTCATAGATACATTAAATAGCTTAAACCAAAAATTCATTTCCAAATGACAGGTATAAAGCAGAATAGTTCACTATAATATATGCATACATTCTACATCACAGTGGCCTGGGGAATCAAATTGGCAAAACCATTGGGAGGGTTCACCACTGATGTAAGCCAAACCCTCCCAATATATTTGTCATTAAAGTAAGGACATTGGGAAGCTATTTTATAAGAAAAATGAGAAATTAATTTCCTTTTATTTATATTAAAAAAAAAATGCTCTGTATTGTCATCAGCATCATTAAAAGGTTAATGAACTTGTGATAATTTGTTGACAAAAAGAACATTGATGAGTAACACACAATTCAGATTCTAGATAAAGAAAAACACAATGTGACAAGACCATATACAAATAACTTATTTCTAAGTGAACTTTCAGTAGCCACTCTTGACTTAAGAGTCGACAGCAAAGGCGTCTGTTTCCATGTTAGGAACTGCCTCAAATTACAGGCAAAGTCAGATTTTCACCAAAGTGTGCCTGGATCATGGTGCCATGATCAATGATAGCTGCACCCCAACACCCAATTCCATTGGAATTCGTGTAATATTTACACAAGGTGATAAGAAACAACAACACTTTCAGTAGCAGCATTGTTAACATCTTCAAACAAAAGAAGACAAAGCTACTAATTCTTTAGTATTATATATACAGTAGAACCTCCATGAGAGGACACCTCTCTGTAAAAGACAGTTTTCATTTGCAAAATTACCATTTTTACAATTTAGCAACTCTCCAGTAAGATGATACCTCTTCCTAAAGGACACTTTGGCTCTGCAATTAGGTGTCCTTTACCTGGAAGTTCTACTGTACTATTAAGCGTACTTTTGCCTGAGATGGTAGCAAAGATGCTATCAAAGCCTCGCATATAAATCACTTATTTGACTTTCATGTTACCTTGTCCAAATATTAAAAACACATTTTATCTATGAAAATACAAAACAAAATGGGGCTCTTGCTAATTTTTTTTGCATACCTCAAGTTTAACAAACTCGTTTAGGTTGATAATTCGTTGATAAAGAAAATAAAAATACATTTTCTTATATACACATGATCATAAGGCTGGGAAACTTAATTCTACAATCCATATTTTTGTTACAAAATATCTTTATAAAACTCAGAAATTATATGGAAAAAAAATTGTACAAATGTGATATTGTACTGGGATAAAGTGCATAAATTAGTTGCACGATAAAGAGACGCCCCTTTCTTTTTTCAAGATTATATGTAGCTTTTATTATGCGCTATAATTCCAACTGTAAATATGTAAATATCCTGCACAGAAGTCCAACCCTTTCTCTACGTGGCGGGCGGGAGAAGCAGCACAAGTAAGGGACTGCCCTGTAGTACGGTGTCGTGAGCCCCGAGTCGCTACGGTAACTGTGAACAAGGAACTCTGAAATGTGGCTGACAAACGGGGCAATGACACCCCCCCCTTCCATGAAGTAGCATCCTTGCAGCCCTCTAATGGCAGACATCAATCCAGAAGAGGACATCCATATGAACAAGCACCTTTGTTGGCTGTTATTGTGATCAGGGTGCATGGACCGATCTGATCCATGGACAAGACACCACCACCAATATGTGAATATAGTTCCTAGATCTGGACACAATTTAGTGTTTCATATTTATGGCTAGGTATTAATGAACTTGTGTCAAACTTCTTTAATTCATCACTCTTAAGGAATCAGAATTTTCTGTTGAATTAAAGTAGGTGTTAAATTATAGTGGGGTAAAGTAAATAGGCTGATTGGAATAAGGATAAAATGGTTGAATCAAAGTGCTGAGTTATAGTTGGTTAAAGAGGTGCTATACTGTATATGGTTTGATATGAAAGGTTATAAACACAAGGTAATAAGACCAAATCCAAATAAATAAATAGTATGTGACATTTCGGTAACAGCGCTGTTACCATCTTCAGACAAAAGAACTGAATCTAATTACTAATCTACTGAATCATTCAGTACTTTTGTCTAAAGTTGGTAACAACGCTGTTACAGAAACATCACACACTATTTATTTATTTGGATTTGGTCTTATTACCTTGTGTTTATAATCTATAATCCAAATTGTACCTTATCATTGATATAAAAGGTTCTTTCTTCTCTCTACTTAATCATATTAGGGTGTCAAGCTTGTAAAGCTTTACACTTTTAATAGATGAGGTGAAGTAGAATGTGTCTGCCTTTGTCATTAAGACTGGAGCATTACTGATATAAAAGGTAACTTGTTGCTAGTGTTTAACAAAATAGTTTTTTTTAATCCATCAGTTGATAACTTAAACCAACTCACACATACCTCCTAGTATATTGATGATTTGTTGTTGTAGATATCTTATTTAGGACACTGTACTGCTGGATGTGCTCCGGGAATGTCTCACAGACATTTTGTACAGTTTGGGAAGTGTTTAGTTTTACCTTCAAAGAATATTTTCCTTGTGTTGCCTGTTCTTAGATGGGAAATGATTATCATGTCTATCTAGGTTGGTCAGGAATGAAACCACAGTACTAATAATGAACAATAACAAAGTTATAAAACCAAACAAAGCTGCAGACTTACACCATCTGGTAGGTTGGCCACCAACTGTCTCCTAGATAAGCCAGGAAGTGGATGATGCAATCACAGAGGGCTATTAAATCACCTGATACCTTCAATGGAATTAACATCTTCACTCAAATCTCTCTCTCCATATACAGTTAAACCTGTCTATAGCTCCCCCTCTAAATAGAGCCTTCCTCTCTATAGCGCCTGATTTTAAACATTAAAATGTAAACATTTTACATTAAAAGTGACCTGGCTATAGCACCCCCTCTCTATAACACCCTATTTTGGTGAGTCCCAAAAGGGAGAGCTATAGACAGGTTTAAATGTTGTAGAACTTCTGTCCATGTAAGAGAACCAGTTCAATACAATAGTAGAGTGGTCTGGAGATTAATTTGGCAAAACCGCTGAGAGGGTTCACTACTCATGAGCCAAGTCCTCTCATTCAATAACTTTAATCAAAACAGTAAGGTCTGTAGAAATAATATTTGATGATTTATGTAAAAAAGAAAAATTTCAGAAAAATTTTGTTACAAATTTTATTGATATACAGTTAAACCTGTCTATAGCGCCCCCTCTAAATAGCGCCTCCCTCTCTATAGCACCCATTTTAAATATGTAGTACGATGTTATTTACATTAAAAGTGACTAGGCCATAGTACCCCCTCTCTATAGCACCCTATTTTGGTGAGTCCCAAGAGGGGGTGCTATAGACAGGTTTAACTGTATATACATGTTGTAGAACTTCTGTCCATGTAAGAAAACCAGTTCAATACAATAGTAGAGGGGTCTGGAGATTTCACCACTAATGAGCCAAGTCCTCTCATTTAATAACTTTTATCAATACAGTAAGGTCTGTAGAGATATTATTTGATGATTTATGTAAAAAAAGAAACACATTTCAGAAATATTTTGTTACAAATTTTATCAATATATAGCAAATATGAAATCATATTTGCGGAAGTTTTTCTCGATGAAATTTCTTAAAATTATATGTGTATGTACCTATAAGCTTATGTCCATAGATTTCCTAAACATCCTTAAGCTGCCTTCCTTAGTAAATGCAGGTTATATGAGAAAACCAATCCAATACAATGGTAGAACAGTATGGAGAGTAATTTGGTGAAACTGGTGAGGGTTCACTACTGATGAGCCAAGACTTCTTATTCAAGAACTTTTTACCATTGCAGTATGGTCTGTAGAGTTATATTTTATGATTTATATATATATAGCATCAGGAGTTATGAAAGTGGGCCAGTTTTCCAAAAAAGCTATTTAAGCTGGTGAATTTTTATTTAAGTAAAATTCTGTTTCTTAGATGGGGGCAAAAACACTTATAGCAGATACTAACGATTATCTTTATATTGACCAATTTATTATTGATTTAAAATAATTTTTAAAATTTTTGGACCACAGTACACCTATCCCCCGATTTACACGGTACTTTTTTTACACGTTTTCGCTTTTACACGGTTTTCCAAATAAGTTTTTTTTGTTGTTGTTGTTTTTATCGCACTATACTAAATGCACTGTGATTGAACACATGCGCTGTGTACACATCTCACGAGGAATCCCGAGCTTATGTGCTGACTTGCTGCACATGCACACTGTGTCTGTATTTCTTCGCATAAAAATTTTGTAAAAATTTTTAATTTTCGATTTACACGTTTTTCTCAGGAACGTATCTACTGTGTAAATCGGGGATAGGTGTATATTTTTAAAAATCCAGACCACAAAATAAAAAAAGTGCCGGGTGGGTTTGAACCACCAACCTTACGGTTGACAGCTGAACTTGTTAGCCGATTGCACCATGACTGGCATGTTTGGCTATTAGTTAAAATGGTGGTTATAAAGCCCACTCGGTCTCATAAAAATAAAGTACACATATAGGCAATAGCACATTCATGCACTGTGACCATGATTATTTGTAATGTTGATTTATGGAATCAATTTTTCTGAGAGATTTAGATTGTTGGCCCTACTTTGAAAAATTCATAAAGAGATGGTGTCTATATAGGATTAAAATTATTTGAAAATATTATCTCTATTCAGAGAAAACACAGATATTACATAGGGTTGGTTTTTACCACTAGTGGGTCAAACTCTTACAGAACTTATCAATGCACTGGTAATCTATTGTTGATTAAAAAAACATGGCAATATACAGTAGAACCTCCATAAGAAGACACTCCTGCTAGAAGACACCTCTTTACAAAAGACAGTTTTCATAACCAAAATTACCATTTTTACTAGTTAGCAACTCTCTGGTAAGAGAACACCTCTCTCTAAAGGACACTTTGGCTCTGCAACTAGATGACCTTTACAGAGAAGTTCTACTGTATCAACAAATCTAAAAAAATAAACCACTAGTATAAAAGGCTCAATTATATATATATTTTTAAATCTAAAACAAGAAAAATATGGAATAATGCAAAATGTGTGCAAACCCACGTATAGCATAATTAGCTTTGGTAATGATAAGGTAAAGGTGTCCAGAAAATTGCGATAAACTTTGTTTAGAACAGGCCACCTGAAACCTTTGACATTTGAGGGGGTGAGAAAACTTTCCTACTATCTGCATCAAATATCCCACAAACCCAGCCTCACCACATCCTAGACTGTATTGGACCAAACAGAAAGGAGCTCTTCCTCAATCTTACTAAAGATGTCTTGAGAAAGCTGGATGTAGACATAACTTACAAGAAGTGGTGTAAAGATTGGAATAAGCATCACAGCCATGGAAGAGGTAGGTTCAATACTCATAGAGAGAATGGTCTGTAAGTAGAAGATATAACTAAGTCTCAAGATTTGCTTAGAATAGATCTCACTTGAATCCATATTGTCAAGAAGAGGTCACTCAGCAGCTATCCAAGCTCACACACAAGTTCAAGAACTCCATATGGGAAACACACAGTACTCCTAACTACACAATCTTGTTCTCTTTGATCATCTTTGTCAGCTACCTTCTCTCTGTAACAGAGATTAACTATTGGTTTTTTAAACACAAGGTACCAAATCCAAATAGTGTGTTTTGGTAACAGTGTTGTTACCATCTTAAGCCAAAAGTACTGAATTCATTGAAAATACAGAAAAAATGTAATAAGGCATAATTTGGATTATAATTGGATAAATGATTTATAAACACAAAGTAATAAGACCAAATCCAAATTGTACCTTATCATTACATTTTTTCTTAATTCACATCAAAAAGCATCATAACTAATTCTGGACACGCATGATTTTCTTATTTTATAATATATTGCCTAGAGCAGAATGTGAAATGGGGTTCCATGATGGCCCTACATGAGAATACTGATCGAATGTTAGCATAAAATTTGTGTAGATTAAGGCGTGTAAAAACACACCAAAGAACTAGGTTTATTGGTGGAGAAGTAACGGAAATATTCAGGTAAACTATAAGTCTCAAATTATAGCATTGCTTCTGTGAACAATTGATATTTCACAGAGCCTAGGAAAAATTTTACTGAGCTACTGGTATTCACTATTCAAGATGAAAAATTGTGAAAAGTGCTTAAAAACTACAAATACAGTAGAACCTCCCAGTAAAGGACACCTAATTGCAGAGCCAAAGTGTCCTTTATAGAGAGGTGTCCTCTTACCGGAGAGTTTCTATAGAGTAAAAATGGTAATTTTGCAAATGAAAACTGTACTTTGTGGAGAGGTATCTGCTAAATGGATGTTCTACTGTATTTCTAACAATGTTTTTTTTTTTTGTTTAGTGAATAATGCTAGCTTTCAAACAACAGTTTTTTTTCCAATGGGCTTAATTAAAACATTGACTATTTCTTACAAGGGGTGTTTACAAATATACATGTAGAGTATCTTCTTCTTCTTTCTTATCTCCACTCAATCATATTAGGGTATCAAGCTTATAAAACTTGAGAACATGTCTGGGTGAAGTAGAATGCGTCTGCCTTTGTCATTAAGACTGGGAGCACTACTCAGTGGCAGGCCGACTTAGCTCCAGAAGAAATGGCCGCCTCTGACATGAGGAACAGACGCCATGTGCAGCCGCTCCTAACATGGAGTACAAACGCTGCTCATCCTGTATCCCTGGATTAGGAGCCCTTACAGGGTACAATCAGCCGGGCCAGCTGAGCCCAGGTTTTTTAGTGAGCTTGTTACTGCTCCCCCTCCTACTTTTTCATCCGGGCTTGGGACCAGCAAAGGCGGAGTTTGTGTAGAGTATGAATATTTACAATGAAATTTCAATCTAGAGAAATCCTAAATTTTTAAATATTACAGTCAAACTTTATAATCCGATATCTCAAGGGATCAGAGCTTTTGGTTGAATTAAAGGAAGTGTTGAAATAGTTAGATGATTAGCTAATCATTTAACTTGCTGAAATATCACTTTTTTTAAAAATAGCTTTGTGAAATAAATTAATAATATTAATTGAAGTACTTCCTGATTAACTACACAAGGTAATAAGACCAAATCCAAATAAATAAATAGTGTGTAATGTTTCGGTAACAGCATTGTTACCATCTTCAGACAAAAGTACTGAATGACCCAACTACCATTCAGTACTTTTGTCTGAAGATGGTAACAACGCTGTTACCAAAACAGCACACACTATTTATTTGGATTCGGTCTTATTACCTTGTGTAGTTAATCTATAATCCAAATTGTGCTTTATCAATTCCTGATTAACTTTTAGTGTCTGGGGCAAAATGGCATTAATTACATATTTTTATAACATAAATAATTATTAAGAAAAAGGCATCTCCTTATCGTGCAATTTTTTCACATTGTGTAGCGTTCTCACGCAAATCTGGCCTTAACTAACCGTTTCATGATTTTTCAGGATGCCTTAATGACCAATTTTTTTTTTTTTTTGGTCATTGAGGTACAGCTTGCACCACGCTGATGAGGGCCAACAGCCCGAAACGCGTCCGTGGTTAGCTTTTCTTGATTAATCAAGAATGGGTATTTGGCCAATTCTGGAATAATTAAAAATCAACGAGAATAGTTGATATTTATTCCGATAGATGGCGCAAGCCATCAGCAACTTTCAGTTGCACGATAAGGAGATGCCTTTTTCTTAATTTATGCACCTTATCCCAGTACAATATCACATTTGTACTATTTTTTCATAAATAATTATATTTATATGTTATATTTATTCAATATTACATTTATATTTACTTATTTGGACATTAACTTGTATTTATAAAAATTTGAATCTAATTGAATAATAGCAGTTGAGAAATAAATACATATGGAAAATAAAAGAAAATTTTAAAAAATATTATTTTAATAGAATCATGAAGATCTCTTTTAAAGAAGCCCTTTATGGATGTCTGTTTTTGTAACTGTAATCCTATTGAGGGTGTATTCAAGCTGATATATTTTCAAAAGACACGTCTTTCCTCCTTTGTAATGTCTTTTAAATAACAAAGAGTTTAGATTGTATTAAAGTCTATTTCATCTATAATTTTTGTTTTCACATAAGTAAGCTGGCCATTTTATATATTTATTTGACATATCGGATACGATATCCCAGCTTGGGATACTTGCATCTAAATACATTTTAGCAGCTTATATAAAATTTATTTTATATACACCTGGTTCAAAATCACATTAATAGGTACCGCTCAGCAAGAGCAACCTAGTTCATGATAATTGCAACAATGAATAATATATGAAGGTTATTCACATATTAAACAAAATGTTAACGCGGGATTCAATCCCGGTTCATGACTGTCGGGAATCGAGGGTGTTACCCACTCGTCCACCAACGTTTTTTTATATAGATATTTTATATATAATTCAATAAACAAGACTAAAAAACAAAATTAAAACTGAAAGGTTGTTTTTTCTCAAACAGAAAAGAAAATCTAAAATGAATTTACAAAAATTATTGAATTTTACATAGGTGGTGGTGGTGCTTTTACTCCATGGTTAAACCAATTCCTGAAGTCCACTCCTCTCCAATTTTGCGAACATAGGTGTCTTTTTCTTCAAATAAAAGACACATCGGCCAGTAAATCTTTTTATTGTCTCTGTATTTGAAGAAATATGAATGCCGGCCAGGCAGCCTCTATCATTATGATAGGTGTCTTTGTTATATACAAATTCGTACATTTCTTCGATGTAGGTGTGAAAGATATTGAACATGGCCATTACTGACCATGTTTCCCATCTCTTTTTTTTTGGCAGAATCTGACTGACTTGCCATGCTCATTTATTTAAAACTGACACGGAAATCTATACATATAAAAATCTATGTTTGTATGTCCGGTATACAAATTTGCAGTAGTTCACTAATTCAAACCAAAATTTCCATACATAGGTAAAAAAAATACGGGGGAAGACGATAGGCTATTTTAAAAAATATATAAATCAATTATTAAAACTATATATTCAAATTATTCTACTTAGCTCACGAACAGCGCCCTCTATCAAAGATTAGATTAAATTATGCTGATGCAAACAAATAGATAATGCTAATAACAAACAATTATAAAAAAAATCTTATCTAAATATATATCACTCGGGTAGATATGCACATGGGTCAATCCCGGGGCGAAGCCCGGGTCACCCGTCTAGTATTGAAATAAAAATATTCTAATAATTATTGTGCTCTTTATTATAATAATTTGTTTAGTTAAATGGAAAATATTTAAAAATAACTAAAATAACTACAGTTAAACTTGTCTATAGCGCCCCCTCTTGGGACTCGCCAAAATAGGGTGCTATAGACAGGTCACTTTTAATGTAAATCGCATCGTACTACGTATTTAAAATCGGGCGCTATAGAGAGGGAGGCATTATAGACAGGTTAAAAAAAA